ACAAAGAGAAAAATATGACCACAGCGCTTGCACAGAGTTGCCGTTGTTTGAATAGCAAGCTAACGTGCCGCTGATTTTGTTAATCCATTTTTAACTTTTAATCGGCGACCCAATAAAGTAAATATGTTTTCTAAATCAGTTTAATCACATACGCCTGTCCTTTGGGGCTACATGCATAACTTCATCTTGCGATTCCTGCTTTACTTTTATTTAAACCAGAGAAATCTTATCATGAATATAATTAAAAAAAATTTAAACTGTAAGTCTTCGTTTAACCATTAAGACTTATTGCTCTGACGGTATTATTTTACCTTATTTTTGTCCTAAGGCAAACTACAGTCAGACCCTTCTGTTCTGTTTCTCTTTAACAGCTATTCTCAAATTAGCAAAAATTGATATAAAAATTATATGCTTGAAACTATTACAATTGTTTAAAGGTAAGAGTGATCTGCTGGCGTAGGCAATTAAAAATTAATGCCAAAAACTTTGATATTCGAAAAGATATTTTAACTTTGAACAAGAAAACGCGGTATAAACGATATGAATCAATATGCCGAAACGAGCCGGCAAAATATTCGATTATCGTCATATGGTTTCTTTTTATCGAGATCTTTTTATCCATTCAATATTCGTTTCTTTTGTGGTAATGTCAATAAGTTTCCACTAACCAAAAATTTGAACGTGTCGTCATTATTGTCAAACTTTGTCTACGAAATTTGTATTGAATCTTTATGCTAAAATCAATTTACGAACAAGATAATAGCGTCTCGTTAAAGGGACACTTAAACGTTTTGTGAACAAATTGAAGTTAGCATAATATTCTTTTGTTAAAGAGAATGAAGAAATGAAAAATGTAAATTGTATAGCGTTGTTTTGTTACGTGAGTAAGCCCTATCGTGACCTGAAGATATTCTCATCCATGTCCCTACCAATACCGATTTAGGGTTCTTATGATTCCCATCATGTTGTTGGTTTGGGCGTTTCGTACTGTATCTCGCCAAACATCCAATGTCTGACTTTGCAGATAGCCTCGCATTAGCGAAATTTGCGTGTCTCCGTATCAAAGATGTCCATATTTTTCAAGTGACATCTAAGGGAACTTTGTGGCTTTGGGGCTTTGTGGAAGCCAGTAACCGGCCGTAGGTCGCTCCTCCATAGTTCCCGTAGTTTATGTGCTATACCGGCAGATTTTATAAATCTTTCAGCTTTCCGCTGCCCTGCACTAGGCTTGCAATGGCGACAAATTTATTCTGTGCCTATTGTCACACCAATCTATTAATATGGTTTGATGATTTTGGATTTACCATGGTCCCTTTAGCCACTCTGTTGGCTAAACAGTTAGCCCTTTTATTGCCTTCAATACCCAGGTGACCGGGTACGTATATGTGGAGAAGAGTAAACGCACTTTTTCGTGAAAGTGATTTATTTAAAGAATATAAAATTTCAAATGTTTAATTCACCGAACAACACTCAACTCAAAAAAAAAAAATGAAAAGCCCATCTGTAAAAATGAAAATGGCATCGCAGACTTGCTCTAATTAAGAAATTATTTATACTGTAAAGTGTTTCGTTACAGCAGTTTTTGTGTACATAGACTACGTGCACGCCATTGAACTTGCTCAGCTCATTCAAGGTCTCTCAGAGTACTTAAGGCGGCTTAGCTGTCGGACTGAATGCAGATCAAGTTTCTTTCATATTGACTTCTTTAGCATTCGGAGACATATGCAAAGATTTTATAAACTTCAACTTGACATATGGAGGGAGTACATTCCAGTGTTATGAGCTTTTAAAAACTCGGTCCATATACATCAACCTTTGCAACGCCATTATCCCGTTTTGAACTGTCGCTATACCATTTTTGTGCTTCCAGTCGATGTGGAAACAAATTATTTCCGAATGTTTTTGATGATGTGAATGAATTTAGTTTTTACGTTTCATTCTCTACAACTGAGCGATTGAAAGAAATGGATGTCTCTAACAGAGCCGACATGACATACTAGATTAGAAAAAAAGACACACAAATGTATTACCTGTTACATGTATAAGATGTTTGATAAAAAGCTCGAAATATCTGCTTCAGATGTTAAGTATTCAATATTCACCTCAAAGTCCGAACGAAAATCTTTCCGTTATTTTATTCGAATAAAATAGGATATGAGACTTATTTTACTCACGATTTTACAGATGTACTTTTCTTTTCAAGTAGACAAATTTGCATTTATATTATAAAATAAATAAACCCACACATACTTATTAGAAACACAGTCGAGATTTTTTTGTTCATTCCTCTGCTTATTAATGTCACAATTCAAATCAGGTTTTATTAATGTTGTATAAAAGTAATTGAATTGCAAAAACAATCCATATTATAACACGTACGGCAATTACATGTATGTATACACTTAAAATCATTGAAAGCCATATACATAAAAAGCATATATATCGTATTATATTCATTCTCGCTTATATAGAACATGAACGCATATACACCATACAATATAAATAAACGACGCTCTTTCACAGAAAATTTAAAATTTAAAAGGAAAAGCTTTACGTTTCTATTCATCCACTTTCTTGCCTTTGTTTGCTCATGGTAGTTAAAAGCGAAAAAAAGTTTACTTATTTTAACAGTAAAAATTATTATAACACTACTTACTTACTTACGTTCACTTTATTTATTTATTTATGTAAAAAAGTATGTTTTCCATTTTCATTTACTACATTTGACAAGAGAGTACATTCATATTAAATTTACGACTTCATTTGTAATAATGCCCCAAAATTTTGGATCTCGTATAACATACAGCTGCCTCTGATTTAATATAAAGTTTAACAATCTATTCGTTAATCGCTGGAATGCTTATGATTCTAAAAGGAATTATGAACGTTTACTTCGAATTCGAAAATTGATTTGATACCGTGACAAATTAAATGGATGCAGAAAATTTTTTTTTTTCACGAACCATAACCTTATTCGGCGACTTACACTTATGGGTTTTTCGAAACCATTGTAATATATTTAATAAATAAATTTGAATATAGGCTTCAGTAGTCTCTTTTTCCGCTCTTTCAGGCTCGTAATTAGTTGGCACCTTTTTACAAGATTCTTATATTTAACAAAATATACACACCTTTTATATGAGAAATCAAAGCAGCAAAGCATTAAAAAATGTTTCATTCTTTAGTACATAAATCACCGTGCTCTCTGGAAGAAAACAGATAGTTCTGTGGATTTTGTCATTCCTTCATTACTCCGCGTTTGTTTTTTTTTTGCTATCTTCCCTAGGCAGGTACTATTGTATCACAACTCCATTCAGTCAACAACGGCAAATGCTTCTGTAAGGCTCGACAAAGAAGAAACATTTTTTTTATACGTACAGGAACGTGAACAAGGATTTCAATACTTGTATGTAAAAAATTTGCATATATAAGTACGTAAATAAACCACAATGTGCGTGCACAAACAGGTGGATGGTATGGCTTATTCATATAGTCTTATATTTCTTTAAAACATAAAAACGATGAATTTCTTTCTTTTTATACCCATAACCGAAAGATGAGGGATATATTCGTTTTGCCAAAACATTTGCAACGTCCAGAAGGAAGCATCAGAAACTCCACAAAGTATATATATTCCTTATTAGAATCAAATTCTAATTCGATTTAAGTGTGTCCGCCTGTCCGTCTACGTAATGTCTGCTGTAAACATTCTTCGTCACAAAAATGAAGCTATTGACTTCAAATCTGGCAGAAATATTGGGAGTTCTTGTGCATAGATCGATAGGCATAAAAAATTAGTTTTTTTGCTCATTAGTCATAAACTACAACAGATAGATCCACAAAAATTTTGAACGTATATTCTATTGGTGATAGTGCATTACCTTTATGAAAATGTAAAAACTGGACGCTTGCCTAATTTTATGGGCCCACTACAGTCCTTTTTGCTTTTTTTTTGTATTTAATAAAAAGATATCTCATATTTGTTTCTATTTCCATTGCTTCCTGTACTGTAATATGTAGTCGCAGTTATATACTTGCGTAACTTTGGTAACTTCAGTTCTATCAAACTTTTCTGTAGCGTGTGTGAAAGGCAAGAGCCCATTGATAATTACAAAGAAGATAAAATTGTTGAAATTCTTTAAAAAAACGTTGGAAAAGACCGGCACATTCTCTCCTACGAGGCATTAACGAGATTAAATTTTGACCAAAAAACACCTTTAAGCCATTTCGATAACTATGAACAGAGAACGAAGCTCGATTTTTGCAATGAAAAACCTAAAATGATAGAATCTCGAGACACTAAAATCAATTCGAAATTTGATACTAATCAAGAGTATAAATACACAAGATCGTATTAGATATCTCCAGCTTCTCTCCTGACAATCGTTTTAACAAAATCCTTCCCACCCAGTTTATCGTACGGTGGTATGATAAAAATGTTTTATCCTTTAATAACCACAAACATCAAAAAGTGAAAAAAATTTGATCATAGAGTGATCAAAAAACGATATTGGTTAGGCCTATAGCTGGCAACGTTGTTAAAGTCAAGCGATTATCCATTATCGCAGTTTGAAAATAATTTGTAGGCATATATATCGGTAAACGCCATAAAAATAGGAAAGAATTTTTGGGGTTTTTTAAGACTTTGAAGAGATCTTTTTTAAGACTATGAAGAAAGCTTTTCAGTCTTTTCAATATAAATCGCCGTTAAATAATGCCGGCCAAGTTTCTGCTGCGTTCGCGCATAAAATTTAAGTTGCAAAAGAAAGGCAACGTTTACCAGATTTATCCCCATTAATATAGGAATACAGCTAAATATATTGTCATTTCTTTTCAATTGAAGTTTTTCAAAATTGTCAGGGAAACTGAAGTAAGTAAGAACCAAAATCTAAATTTCCAATAACTTAATGAAGTCACATTTCTAAATTCTAAACTGTCATCAAAACTACTTTTAAATTTTTACATATTTTTAATAATTATACAAAAATTTCCGTTTCGTTATGCTAAAGATTATTAAAAGAAATACTAAACAGGGACAGGGAGATGAGGGTAAAAGCACTACTAGCCTAGACGACCCAGAGGATGAATTGGAAGACTTGGGAGGAACCTTGCCTTTAGCTTCAGAACACAGATCAATTAGTCGTTCGGTCTCGTTTGGTGAATCGGTTTTGCGGCGCCAGAAAAAAGCCGCTGTAATTCGTCATCTTCTATTTATTTTTGCATTATTTGTGATTTGGTGCGTATACTCTATATGTCTAATAACTAATCGTGAGAATATCCAAAATAGTCGAATGTTAACTATAGCACTGAATGAAGTTCAAAATTACCGGCTGGGTGTCACACGCGTACGCAAAATTATTGGTATAAATTTACTTGGGCCATTTCAGCCTGAACAAGATTTATCAACGCTGCCATCAAAGAATGACCCTCATCTATGGATGCAAGTAATGTTAAAAGTTACTGGAAAGGTTACTAAAATTTCCGATCCATGGGGTGTTGTTATCAGAAATCCAGGCAAACTGGAATATGTGAAATCTACTTATCAAGAGAAAGACATTCATTTAACGGAAGATCTGTCAACGCTATTACAAAGTGTGGATGAAGATCACGGAGTCTTTCTAAACATGCAAACGAATATTGACAAACATTTGGCTTTTAAAATGTGGATCGATGAATCACCTGTTGATCAGAAATTGGGCATAGTTTTTGGCGGAGTGGTACTAATTTTTCTTTATATCATGATTATATGGGAATGCGTGAATCGAACGTTTGCCTCAATGATAGCATCGACCCTGGCTATTGGAGTGTTAGCGGGCATGGATTCTAGGCCAGCGATGGATGAAATTATAAAATGGATCGATTTAGAGACGTTGATGCTGCTCTTTGGCATGATGGTTTTAGTCGCTATTCTTTCAGAATCCGGTGTGTTTGACTATTTGGCTGTGTTCGCTTACCAGATTGCCAAAGGTAATCTATGGATTTTAATTTATGTTTTGTGCCTCTTCACATCAGTGCTCTCGGCTTTTCTTGATAACGTTACTATGATGCTGCTTGTTACTCCAGTGACTATACGTTTATGTGAAGTAACTAATTTAAATCCCGTACCAGTATTGATGGCCATGATAGTCTATTCCAATATTGGTGCTGCCCTTACACCCGTTGGTGATCCGCCTAATATTATTATTATGACCAATCATTATATAATTCATGATGGTGCGGCTAATTTTGGGACTTTTATTCTTCATATGTTGCCGGGTGTTATAGTTGGGATGCTCACCACATTTGGCCACTTGCGCTTGAGATATCGCACTATCAAGGATTTCATGAATAAAGAATCGGCCGATATAGAAGCTATACGTCATCAAATACTAGTATGGGAAAGAGCGGTTCAACATGTTTCGCCAACCACCATGGATGAAGAAATAGTGCAAAACACCTTATTAAGAAAAGTCGAAGCTTTAAAAGCAAAACTCGAAGAAATGCAAGCAAGTAATCCAACCCACGTTGCCACCTATGAAGAAACACTAGCTCAAATGAAAGCTAGCTATCCTATACGTAATAAGGTTTTACTTATTAAGGCAACAGTAGCTTTCACGTTTGTGCTGTGCTTATTCTTCTTGCACACGATACCAGGCATAAAACATCTCTCGCTTGGCTGGAGTGCTTTGCTAGCCGCTTTGCTTTTATTGATTATAGCCGACGATCAGGATATGGACTCAGTTCTAAGCCGTGTAGAATGGTCTACTTTACTGTTTTTTGCTTGTCTGTTTATTATGATGGAAGCCCTCACAAAACTGGGTCTAATCGGCGCCATCGGCCAAAGTGTGGTGAACATAATTTTATATGTCCATCCCCAGTATCGTTTATTGCTAGCCATACTAATAGTACTCTGGGTAACTGGCATTGCTTCAGCCTTCCTGGACAATATACCAGTCACCACAATGATGGTTCGTATTGTCATAAATTTATCTCAGAATGAAGAACTTGGATTGCCTTTAACCCCTTTAGTGTGGGCTTTGGCGTTTGGTGCTTGTTTTGGTGGTAACGGCACTTTAATTGGCGCTTCTGCCAATGTGGTAGCTTCAGGTGTATCTGAACAGCATGGATATCGCTTTTCATTTGTGCAATTTTTCATATTCGCTTTTCCCATAACCATCAATACCTTAGTTGTGGCCACTATATACTTGTTGATATCTCATTGTGCGTTTACATGGCATTGACGGATATCTTCAATAATACATCAAGAGAACTATGGGAAAAAAAATTGAACCACATATTCAGTCACGTTGCAAAATAATTGTTCGATCGTGAAATGCGTGCTTTTTTTTTTTAAATGTGGCTCAACTTTTTTTTCTTATTTTTTGCATTCAATTATCTGCTTTAAATTAATGTGTTATCCTTCGTTCTTCTACAATTTATATATAATTCTCATTTATTTAAGTTTCTCTGTACATTATAAAACATAACGAAAGCGATGCACTATTGTGTGTGAACTGACTCAGCAATAAAGAAAAAAAATATTTTCAACCTTTATTTTTTAACAAATTTCTTCCCCGCTACCTCAAGTCAAAGGACTTTGAAAGATTATCTAATTTATACAAGCAAGCATTAATTGTTTTTTTTTTTTTGTTAAGTTAGATAAATTAAAAATAATTTTAGTTGCATAATTCTATTTTTTCTTAAGCTTAGGGATTCGGTGATATCACATGATTGCTTTCATATCCTTCTTAATATATTTTTCTTGATTCGTAAGGTTACTAATTGAAGCAAATATTGTCAACGATTGCTTGCACTAGAGTGGGTTACGATTCAAGTGTACACGTAAATTTTGTGTTTTCTTTAAAAAAAGCCAGTAAGAACGTTGTAGTTTCCATCATAAAAAGTAGAAATTGGATTTTTTCTCCATAGATCATAGGGGGTCCAGAAAATTTTTCCATCTGAACCAAATTGTTCTGAATAATTCAGAACACCGAAATGCAATTATTTAGCTACTTCTGTGGAGGAACTTTGAAAATTGTAATTTCACGACAATATCTTAAAAATTGCGACCCATAGGTTGAATACAAGAGCATATAGACAGACATCAGATGTGCAGACATGCTAAGATTAATTCGCAGTCCTTTTCGTTATAAAAAAAAAGTAGGTCTACACCAAGTCTTTCTACGTTTTACAACCGTAAGCACAAACTTATGCACTGTATCCCAAGTGGTGTAGGATATAAAGAACCACGCAGGATAGTTAACTCGACTTCACTAGAGCAAAAAAATTTTTAATGAAAGCTTTACGTAGCAAATAAATGTACAAAAATTCAAACGCATATTCTATGAGCGATGCTGTAGCATTTTTGCAAAAAATAGAAAAAATTGACCACGCCTGCCCAATATTATAATGTATAAAAATTTAATTATTTTTTTATATTATATTATTTATATATATTATTTTATATATTATATCTCGTTATAACGCACAGAAACAAGCTTCATAAACACCATTAAGTAGACGAATTCTAGGCCAGTTCCAAATCTAGCATGCGCCTAAACATGTTCGCCTGTTCGTCTGTCCATCTGTCTGTTTGCGCAACTTTGTAGTATTTGTGGTAAACTTTCTCCCTTCAGCGAAAATAAAGATATCGCTTACAAATTTGAAAAAGAATCGATTTCAAATATGGCAGAACTCATATTCATAAACTATGGAAGATAAATGTAGAAGAATTTGAAAGCACATTTTATGGACGATGGTGCAATATCTGTACAAAAATTCACAAAAATTGGCCACGCCTACTATAGCGTATCAAAAGTTTTTTTTTTTTTAATACCTAAGACGCAGAAACAATCTTCAACAATCCCTATAATGTATATAAATTCTTAGCGAGTTTCAAATTTGAAATGCACCTAAACATGTCCGCTCGTTCGTCTGTCCATTTGCGTGTCTGGGCAACCGTACAGTATTTCGGGCAAACATGCTCCAATTAGCGAAAATGAATGGACTTAACCTCTTCAAAGGACATGCCTACAGCGCCCATATGCCTCTACCACAAAAACTATTATCTGAAAATAGAAAAAGTCAGCTGCGCCCACTTCATAGCATAGAGCATGAGAATTTTGTGCTTTTACTTCTTTTGTCTTTTTTTGGAGGTAAACGGTGATGGATGTAAAAGATTCAGTCCCGACTGAATTTAAATTTCTTTTAATAATACCAGCGATATGCGTATCAAATAAAAGAACTTGGAAAGTAGAATACGAAAAGCATAATAGTGGATATGCTAGACTCGGCCCCCACCGAATATGACTTTCTTACTGTTTGTATACCATTTAAAAAAAAAATTTTTTTTTCAAAAAATGATCCCTTGAATAACATTTTTTGAAGTAGAAAAAAATTCTATCCTTTCACAAATATTGGCAATGTGCCACCAATACTACAGCAGGATATTAACCACGACTCGAAATATTTTGTTTCATATTCTATATTGTTTTGAGGTTCTACATGATGCATGCGTTTTCCCTGTAGTAAATAAGACACTTTCTGAGTTGTTGTTGCGTGTCCACCTACAACAATATCAACACGATCATAAAATACAAATTATTAATTAACTGATCGATCGGCTGTATTATATTCAAAATACAATTAAGCATGCTTTAATGTATACGTTCAAACATTCGTAGGCGTAATAAAAAAGATAATAATAGTAATAATAATGATGATGATGATGATGATAACAATGATGGCGATGATGATGATGATGGTGATTAACAACAAGACGAATAAAAGTGAAAATTAAAAGATAACATAAAAGGAAGATAGAAAAGCCAATCATGCTTACTTTTTAAAGGACCACTTAAAGGTGTTTTCGCTGCATTTTGTTTTTTTTAAATTTTTTACAATGTTTTTGCTCAAAACTTCACCTGCGTCATATCAGGTGTTTAAGCATTTAACAACTTAAGCCGCCAACAAATCCAGTTATGTGAGAAAAAAAATAAACCTCGGATGCACAAAAAATGTGAGTTAAGCTATGAGTCTCAAATGGCTACACACGTATACGCACGCATATATATTTACATGCGCATAGACCGATATGTACAACATATATATATATATATAGAACTATATATATTACCCTTGTGCGTGTGTATGTGTTTGTGTGCGTAAATATCAGTATGTGTGAACACATTTATGTAAATACGTATAATAAACTCTTCCTCTACAATAAATTGCAAACCAACCACAGATTTCAGCTTTTTCATAGCTGTGTAGTGTGTGATCGTTCGTATAAATTTTGTTTCGCATAAGGCGAAAATTTAAGGCGGTTACGGTATATTAACTTAAAAGTAACAACGGCCTAAACATTTACGAAAGTTTCGAAAACAATATGCCAACGAAACGCACACGAACGCGAACATCGCAGGCAACCTCTGACCGAATTTTGTAAGATAAGTATCGGTTAGCGTGCAAATATGCAAGAGCAATAATAACAACAGCAATAGCAAGCATAAATATAATATTCAAGTAAAGCTTATTTATAGCGTTTATGGTCTCTATCTCTCTCTCTCTTTCTCTCTCTATGTATGTACAATATATACGTGAAGAGTTTCAAGCATGCAAAGTATGTAAGAAGGCCAGCAAATTAAACTTTATATAATACATAATAAGCAACTACGAACATTATAGTCCGGCAGCTCCTACCGATACAAACCCTATTCACTTCGGTGACTTCACTTATAAGCTCGTTTTGGTAATAATACACCAAAGAGTAAACATAATTTTTATGAAAGCCCATATATTGTAAGGTTACATTTTCTATCCATATAAGAATTTGCGTTTCGTAATAACGCGTATATATGTTGAAGTCCCAAAAAATAGGCCTATGTGATTGGGCCCACTTCATTCTTTTATTTAGTTACTATCGTGAACAAATTTTCACCACAAAAAAATTACCAATTAGGCTTTTTCGGTGGTATCCAAAAAATAGAGAAATAAAACGATTTAGAACATGATTCTGATTCATTTAAAAAATGATTTTGAATCGATCGGTATAGTATAAGGTGGGTGTATCTTGAGCCCTTCTGTATGTTAAATACATCCGCAATAACCTAATATACCCTGTACCACAAGTGGTGTAGGGTATAAAACCGAACGCATTTAAATTCACCTTCCGAAACACGCGCACCAGATGTAATCATCAGATTATCATTTGAGGCTCAGTGAAGTGAAGTGCTGTGAAATAAAACATAAGTGAAAAATTGAACAAGTATTTAAAAGGAAAAATATTAAAAGGAAAACCAATTTTTTGTCAAGAAATTGAAAAATTTATACTTACGCGAAACTACGTTTTTCTTGGCTAAAAAAACACTCAAAGCCTTCGAAGATTGGAAAACTATAGCAGCGGCATGGTAGCGGAAAACAGAGCTTAGGATCAAAAGTACAAAAAACTATCTGAACGAAGCAATAATCTCTTAAATGAAAATAATAATTTGAAAGGTCAAAAAAACAAGCTGAAAAAAAAATTAAAAGACTCGAAACTCTCTAGGACGAAAAAGAAGATAATGACAACGGCAAAAACATGCAGTTCGCCAATGAGGAAGATGAGGAAGCTGCAAGCATGTAGCTGCAAGCATGTAGCTGCAAGTATGATGAAGACGTAACGTTATTAACACAAAATCTAGTAACAATAAAAGTCCAATAGACACAAATACCAAAACTCGGAAGCACGCACCAGCAATTAAATACTACAATGTAAATGTGAAAATAATTACGAGCGATCTTAAGAATATCCGAAATCATAACAACTTCTCACTAAAGTTAACCAACAAAAATATGACAATCATAGTCGTCTTAACGTACGAGGCAAAAGCTGAAATACCATACCGAAGCCGTACCACATGAATGTAGATGTTCTTTCTAATACTTATGAGGAGGAGGAGCCAAAATCTTACCTCAATAACCTACAAATACTTATAAATATCCTCAAAATTATTTAAACTAATAGGGATGGATAGATAGTTGAGTTAGATAGGAAATCTAACGTCCAACAATTCTTTAAAATTAAATATATACTGAATTGAAATTTAATTTAAAGACACATGCACAATCCGATCCCGTTCAATGCGGAAATTGTCAAAGATTTGAGCATATATCGACAAATTGCCAAATGCTGCACCGGTGCCTTAAATGTAGTGGCGGCCATGGCCCAGGAAGATGATTAATCTCACCAAAATACCAGAAC